ATATAGTATATTAAATCAGCATTGATTTATACCCGGGTCTCTTACAAAATACCACAACAAATGCCCTTGTAATATACCCGGTACAAATCAAGGGGGGTCTAAATCAAGGGGGGTACCTTGCACTGCGTTTTACGGTACGTTTAATTTCTACTACGTACGTACGTACGTACGTATATAGCTAGGGTTGTTAATTACGTGTACATTATTCTACAGACGACAAAAAATAACAGGAAATTTTTTTGTCGTATGTACGTATGTTCAATATGACCATGTGAAGTTTTTTCTGTGATTTTTTGCAAAACCGATTACGTAATTTCATGCAAAAAATATCATGGCAAACAAATTTACATGATCATATGAAATGTCGGATAACGTAAGTTACAAGTTAGTTACCAATAAGTTACCGGTAACTTATCGTAAGTTACTGGCAAGTAGCTTACCAATATAAGTTAGTATATAGCATTAAATCAAAATAGCTCAGGTAAAAATTAAATTTACGTATCTTTTTTTATTTTGGTAACTTACGATAACTTCCAGTAATGTTACGTACGTACTACAATCTTGACTGTATGATTAGCTATTTTGAACAATGCCTTTTTTAGTACTCATCCCTTTTTTTTTATGTTTTTTAATTATAAGATTTCATTCGAAAGCTTTTCCTATTTACTGCGCGCGTGTACAAATTGCATATGCATGCATAAATGCAGTGCAATCTAATAAAGAACGCCAGATAAACATCTAATTCTGTACGTACAGTACGTATCTGATGATGCAATAAATTTGTTTTTTTTTTAAAAGATTTCATCTGCAATACACAAAAGATCTTTTGTTTCTATGCACACGGGATACATATTTTATAAATGAATTAAAACACGTTAGAAAAGCTTTCTTTTTTATAGTGACCCAAATCTGATTTAATTTCATTATATCAATGAATCAATGAATACGTAATGGCAATAATAAATAATTCGAAATTAGAAGCAATTTTTAACAGTAAATGTACTTTACCAATACCATTTACACTATATTTCGTATATTGTTCCCCGTGAAATAACTATCATCATTATGAACTAAAGTTTATAAATCTTACACTATTACTGGATATCGAATTATGCATGTCAAACAAGATTCATGAATAAACTTTTCCGAAGCAAACTATAAAGATAATTGTATCAAAGATAATTACATGGATTGGTAATTCTTTCTCTGAACTACGGTGTTCTGATAGTTTGAATGATTTTTTCTATTAATAATCGGATCTGCCATTCATATAATGATGATAATGAAACTTTATTATATAAATTAACCAAATTTAATGTGTGATTATTTGAATGTGATTATTTCATTTAATTAATTAATTATCGATTATCAATACAGCATGATGATTAAGTGATTATGGTGATTATTATTGATAAACAAAATTCGCAAATATCACATAATAAAAAAAAGTGATGTCTATAATTTATATATTCACTATTATTCACAATTACTAACGTTTTAACTTAAAATTTTCTTAAGATTAAAAATAAACATGATCAATGTCGACAACTTATTCGCGATTCATAATTTTTCAGAGTTAATCATCTTATTTGTTTTCTATGTATTTTCATTACTACTTTATTTATTTCACTCAATCGAATCCTTTACCTGGCCTGCTTCCATTACCAATTGAAGGTAATATTTTTCAAATAGATTTTAGTTTGCTCACATCAGTTAAAATTTTTCAATCAAGATATGGCGACATTTTTGAACTTTATATGTTTTTTGAATGTCAAATCTGGTTATGTAGTCTATCATTAGTTAATAAAATATTTACGAACTACGAAATCCAATTTTTTTCGTCGATCATTATCTACTCAAGGTTTTAAAGAATTAGAATTGATATTAATAGAGATTTAAAAAGTGAAATATAATCGTAGAATTTTAAGTTACACTCTTACAAATATTAGAGTTTTAAAAGAAAGTGTAAAAATTGTTAAAAAACTATTTACAGAAATTGAAATTTATTGGTTTATTTTAAATAATGAAAATAATTTGTCAGATAAAACTGATAAATTTGACGAATTTACAGTTGATCTTAGTCAATGGACCTTACTTTAACTATGAATTTTAGTGAACATGCATTTAGCATGGCAAGTTATTTTAATTACTTAGCAAAAGTAAAAAATCAAAGGTCTCAAGAAATTATCGAATCTGAAAAATTCCTAAAGAGCCTCTCCATATGGGTACAAAACAGTAAGTTTTTTTTTTTATTTCTTGTTTTATAACATTCGATACTGTTAAGTAATTATCAACGGCAAATTAAATTTATTACAATAGTAATATTTCTGATGCTTTGTCCATCGAAATTCATTCGTCATTACATTCCACCATTTTCTTATTTTCAATTAAAATTTCAAACAAATTATAAATGGTTAACTAATGCTTTTTCAAAAAATAATTCAAAAGCGTATGAAAGAAATTGAAAATGTCCCCTAGATAAAATTCGCACCCATGATATTTTAACTACTTTGTTAACTGTTAGTATCGTTCAAGAATTAGAAAAAATTATAGGACTGGTGAAAAAATAAAACCAATAGAAGAAATTGAGATTGCTGGTGTATTACTAAATTTTTTTTGTTGCTAGTATTGAAACGGTATGTTAACATTTATAACCTGTAACATTTATTATAGGCTGCTAAATATCCAATAACAAGTACTTATTATATATTTAATAACCTATTAATTTAGGTGTTAACCACAACGTGCTTTTTTCTTTACTATACTTGCAAGCATCCTTCAGTGAAACAAAAACTCATCCATGAATTTGATTCGGAATTTCTAGAGTTGTCATCATTAAGTGATATTCTTACCTATGAAAACTTTCCGTATTGTGATGCAATCTTGACAAATCCTCCGATTAATCCTCGTGAAACCTCCAATCAAGATGAGATTGATGGTTACATAATTTCCAAAGGTTCGATAGTAGTTGCATGTACTGATGCAATCCATTTACATAAAGATTATTGGGAAAACCCTAATGATTTATCCCAGAAAGATTCTTATCTAAAGAAGATTATCCATTATCAGCGTCTAATTAAAATTAAGTATTTTTAGTTTTATTATTTAGAAAGTATGATGTTGAACTTGTAAATAGAGATAAGAATGCGATACGTCAAAGATATGTTCTTAAAACTTATAATAGATTGTTAGTTAAACTTAAACCCAGAAAAGTTTAACCATTTATTAATTACAAATATTTGTTATAATTATCTTTTTTATTAATTCCTTTACACTTTTATTATTTATTAATTTTACATTTTTATTTATTATTTATGTATTTTAATTTCTTTTTATATAAAGTACTTGTTAAAACTATTTGTATTGATGTTTCTCTTTTGGATCAAAACATATCCATTATAGAGTTGTGAATGTATTTTACTCTAAATTTAATTTATTTCAAACATTTATTCTCATGAACTACATCTAAGAATTTAAATGCCAGATAATATATATACGTACTTATGTATGTGAATGACTTAGGTGTTGCATAGAAGTTATGTAGGATTTAATGATTTTCCTTACGAATTGGATTTTATTCAAAAAAAAACAAAGAATATGCCACTAATAAAACTTTTTAACATCGGGTAACTAATCTGTATAGCATAATTAGTTCCTCTTATTTTTATAGCAAAATTACCTGTATCATTTAAAAAAACCCACCTTGGTATGTTGAGGATAACTTGAATTTACTCGGATTACATAGGAAAATTCGAGTAACAAGGGATGCGTAAATTTTCGAAAGAAATCGAAATTTTTGAAATTTACCAACCAAACAATCAAAGTCACATGAAATAATATGATTGGCCAGCTATCCCTCCATGTGATGATCGACAACATGGTATAACTGATACGATCATAAAAATTCTGAACAAATGTTAAAGAATCACTTTCAACAAAAATTTTAAATAATTTTAAAGGCATTAACAAAATTATGTTAAGTTTTTAAATATTGATTTTTTTTTTTTTTTTTTTGAATGCTTTTTGCAAAAAGCCCCGAAATTTGTCGAAATTTTTTGAAATACCCGAAAATTTATCGAAATTTTTACTTTACTGCTATTTTCATAATTTCTGGAACACCTAATAAAAATTGGCCGAATGATTTTTCGGCCGATCCGATTAAGTTTGTAATTTCGGCATAATAAATACGTAATTGATTT